TCATAGACAAGACAATTTGCAGGTCTTCTTTTTCTTAAAGAGCCAGAGTCTCCCATAAATAAAATTCTATTTTCTGATTTTCCAAAGTTTTTCTATAATTTTTAGATTTTCAAAACTTTCCTAAATTTAAATTGAATAATTTGTTCAAGCTTTCTACAAAATGAAAACATTTTTCCGGGCTTATATTGCTAGAAGCTCCATCCCAGCTCTTCTGTAGTGCAGGGAGCTCCTGTAGAATGCATTTTCAGGCCTTCCAAACCTATTGGATCCTTTTTAGAACTTCAGATTTTTCCGGACTTTGCTTAGCTGGATTAAAGACCCCATTCAGGTCTATCATTAATAAAGGGACTTTTTCAGGACTTTTACAAATGCAAAAAAATCAGTCTTCGATTGTTAAAAGACTTATTTAAAGCCTACCCAACTATAAGACTTTAATATCTTCTTCTTTTTCAAATCTTCTTAGCTGGTAAATCTATGTCAGATATTTGATAGGCAGAAAATTTTTTCCTGATCTTTATATTTAGACGACTATTCTCTATAATAAGAAGACCTCCTTTTGGCCCTCGATGGATAGAAAACTTCTAAATGCATATTGTCGACCGAAAACATTTTTCAAGAAATTTATAAAGTTAAAAGCCTCTTAAAAATCATTTACAAATGCAATACCATTATAAATACCGTATTTTACAATTATACGGATAGAAGAACTTTTCCGAAGGTTTTTAAAAATTTTTTCTTATTTTCTGGTATTTTTGACAAAAAAAAAAACTTTTTCAGATATTGCTTATACGGAAGACTTTTAATATGTTTACTGTGGATGGAGGGTATATCGAAGATAATTCATCGACAGAAGATGCATTGCAATTCCTAAAAGGAGAAATAATACATTTTTAGTCTTCCATGGAAAGTATATTATTTCCAAGTCATCTTTGGATAGAAGAAATTTTGAAGATTTAAGGGGATAAAACAATTCTTTATGGAATTCCATGGTTAGAAAGGGCAAATAATAATTTTCTGGACTTCCACGGGGAGTATATTATTTTCAAGTCCTCTACGGATAGAAGACATTCTGAAGTTTAAAGGACATAAAATATTTTTTTAGAGAATATATGAAAAATCAATTTCCAAAAATCCATGGTTAGAAGATCTCCTTTAACCTTTCTTTGTGTGAAAGACCTTCTTCTCCTGGTCTCCTTTTTTATTAAAAATGGTTTTAAAGACTTTTTGAATAGAATAGTTCATAGTTCTGGTGTAAATAAATATTTTTCCTTTTATTTATTCAAAAAATCGAACTCTAATCTTTTCTGCCTTTCGAGGACTTCTATGGGTACAATAGATTTTTGTAAATCATTTTTCAGATTTTTTCAATTTTTATATAGTCATCTAAGGCTATTTTGTTGACTTGATTTTTTTTTTTTTTTTGAATTTATAAAATGTGGGTCACATGGAAAATTTTATCTCATTTTTACATATTTGGATTTTAACATTCATTTCCTCTTAACATCATATTTATATTATTACATAAATTTCCAATACTCAACTTAAACAATCTTATAATATACTTAACACCTAATCCCTTGAATAGAGTTTTTTACACTTCATGTTTTTATCGTTTATTTCCACAAAACAACACAATGTTTTATGTGCCCTACTTTTTTTGGGTGTTTTTTTTTTTTTTTTTGACAATAAATAACAACTTCCTATTTCATATTCACACATACATAAATTACACTTAAATTTCTGTTTATGCCCATAAAATAAATATACAAACATTTTCCAGTTTTTTTTCTTATTATTATGTAGCACTTCTAATACCTTATAAATAAAATTTTTCCGGGAGACAGGAAGGAATGAAAGATAAATGAGAACATACTATGTGAGAAAATAAAGAATTATTGGGTAGCTGATAAAAAAAACGAAAGGAAAATGGCAACAACATCATTCCAACCCCCATCTACGATGGGACTGTTTTGAATATATTGACTTTTAGATGGTAAATAATAAATGTAAATCTCATAATTGCTGAATTTAACAATTTTTTTTTTGTTAAAGCCTACATAAACTGTGATTTTGAACACCATTTAGAGGTCATTATTTATTAAAGATATTCGTTGGAAATAAAAAAATGCATAAATGCATAAACATGTTTTGTTCATAAATATTTGAAAAGGTGTTATGCAATAAATTTAAATTTTGTATATTTTTATTTATTTATTTTTTTTTTTAAATGGGAGATTATGGCTAATTTATATATTTGATATTTTTCATAGTCAATTTACAATCATAAATGCTTAAATTTCATTTAAATTCTTTGTGATTTTTTGGGGGTTTTTCATAATTTTCTATTTTAAAAGTTCAACTTTTTATTCAAAAATGAAATGATTTTAAAATATTTACATTCATTTTATTATATTTACAGCATAGTTTTAGGCAACATATTCTTAGACATATATTTTATTTAAATTACACATTTATTCCTATTCAGTAGTGGAATTCTCTAAATCATCTTTCGAGTTACAGACAAAATTGAAAGAATTTTCATAAATTTTTAGTATTTTTGTAGTATACTTTTCAGCGCTTCCAACTACTTTTAGTTTTAAAAGAAACTGCAGAAACTAATACATCAGAAAACTACAACCAACTTCAGACTGCTGTCATTTCACAGCCACTCGTCCGACAGCTGTTAAAATGATTCCAGTGACAGCTCATTCTATTGTTTACTAGCGTTCAAAAGCATTTTGGTGAGTATTTTCCAGAAAAAAGTTATTCGAGATGGAATTCAAGCGTCATATTGTGATTTCTTTATATTTGGCTGGAAAACCACAAGTGGCTATCGTTAGAGCACTCCAGCATTTAAACGAGAATAAATCTTTTGTGTCTCGTACCATCGCTCGTTAGAGTGATACTGGTAGCGTAGCCCGACGTCAAGGCAGAAAACACCAGCATAAATGGTTCGAAAAGTAAAGAAGCAACTTGATTGAACCCTGCGTCGCAATGGCCGAAAAATGGCTCGTGAGCTAAAAATATCGCAATATTCCATTCAGCAAGTATTGAAAAATTATCTCAGGGTAAAGCCATTGAAATTCCAAAAAGTGCAAGAACTTACACCGCAACAGAAAGAAAAAAGGATTAAAAAAGCTACAGAGTTGCTTGGCTTGGCTTTGGGTTTCTCCGATGAGAAAACATTCGTTGTCCAGCCGTTTGTAAACAAGCAAAATGATCGTGTTTGTTTGCCAAAGAGGTCAGCTGAGAATGTACACCTTCGTTTCGCCACCAGAACTCAAACGCCGGCCATGGTGATGATGTTGGGCGCCATAACAGCCGATGGTCGCTCTCCGCTCGTATTAATTGACCTGACGGTCATCAGAATAAATGCCAAATATTATCGAGAAAATATTCTGGAAAGTGTATTAAAGCCTTGGGCACGCAAACAATTTGGCCGCAAACCTTGGATATTCCTACAGGACTCAGCACCTAAGAATGGTTACAAAATGAGGTTCCTCGCTTCATTTCCAGCGCACAATGGCCACCAAAATCTCAGGATACCAATCCTTTGGACTATAGTGTGTAGAGTATTTTGGACAGAAAGGTTGGCACTAAAATATACCAAAGTGTCGATCACTCCAAGCTAGCGCTTCGCCGGGAATGGGCCAAAATACCACATGCAACATTCGCGTTTGAAGGCAATTCATTGGCCGTTTAAAGGCCGTAATTCATGCCAAAGGTGACCAATTCTAACAAATCTTAACTTATTCTAAAATTTGATGCTATTTCCGACGTTTTTGCTTTCATTCAATAAAATTGAAAAAAAAATGTAAAAATTATGGCGTTTGACGTTGTTGCAGTTTTTTATCTCACCCTGTATACTTGTGCCCAGAGGATAACTGCTTAGTAAAGTAACTTTTTCACATCTTAGACATAGAATTTTCATGGCATAATTTTAAGAGATGAGAACAGTTATTAATTTTTAAAGAAATCCGTTGCGATATTAACAGCATAACATAAACCGCTATATAGTATGCATATACTGCATTTTTACTACACTTAGTATAAGTATACTAAAATTATGCTAAATAAAGTATTAAATATACGTACAACTTTTTAGTTCAGAAATTGTTGGAGCGCCTAAAAGTGTGCTATAAAAATGGCAAAGATAAAGGTGACTGTACATATGACTCTAACACAATGCGAAAACTAGTCCTTAATTTTTAAATTGCTTAACTTAAGTACTTTAAATTAAGAAATATTAGGATTTATTTACATCCCTGTATTTACAGCATACTTTTAGGCAAATGTTTCTTAGATTTATATTTAACTTTATTTTCGCATTCGTATTTACATTTTCAGTAGAAATTATATCAAACACTCCATATTTTCTTACCCAGCTAAAATACTAATTGCACATCGGATTCCGAACCCATTATTTTAGCAAGGACATGTGACTCGAAATAAGTAGTTATTCCAAAGATGATAAATTAACATATTTTTTTTTTTTGTAGAAGCTAAGGAATAATTAACTAATTGTCAACCTGTTTGTAACCAAGGAATAATTACTAAAGACCAATTTTAGGAGTAATTTTTATAGCGAATTATGCACTTTTTAGGTTTTAAATTTTCTTTGCATACTTTTAGGCACCCATGACAATTTTTAGAAATTTAAACATATAATTACAATATAATATATTATATTATTACTATACTTAACACATAAACATATCAATTAATTTCAATTGTTCTTACATTCAAAAACATTCTGTACAACGCCAAAAAGTATGCTAAGAAAATTCTAAGGATGAATAAGTTATCTGTGCTTTATATCGAGTTGTATCCCATTTTTAAAATAAATCGATCAGGAACCTGATTTGTAATCCGTATTTTTGCTGGCTATTATACAAAACTTGGGTTTTCATGGACCCTTTCCGTAAACACTTATGACTTTTCTGGGCGTTTTTTTTTTTAATTTTGGATATAAATGCCTTAATTTCTTTTAATTTCGTTTAAATTCTTTGAAATTCCTTAATTTTTCTTTACATAATTTAATCTTAAATCTATCGCTTAATACTACGAAATACAACAGCTTTAATTCTCATTCACTTTAATTAATTAAATAAATAATACAACTAATTTACAGCATACTTTTAGGCAAGAACTGTAAGAAACAGCTGGTCGACACCAGAAACATTCGAATATTCGTTGCATAATTTCAGGTTGATTTCCATTAATTACCATCCTTCTATCATCCTCAGCTCTAAACATTCGTTTGATCTTCCGCCACACCGACCCTCTCCTCCCCCTCCCCATCTTGATTTACTACCAATGTGATTTTTTCACCATCCTTTGTTGTGGTACAAATGACACCACCATTAATTTCCTTTCTCGGTTGCTGTTGACTATTCGATGATGATTTATCAGTTGCCGTGGTTGCCGTCGAGGCGGATGTTCCTGATGTACCCGATGACGAACCGCCACCACTGTTATGCACAATCGTGGGTGCCAGAAAACAATTATTTTGTTGTGGTGATGGTCCCGTCTTGGGCACCGACACCCGTCTCGAGCCCTTGCGTTGCTTGGCACCGCTACCCGTCCGTTTGTGGGTCACCACACTATTTTCGTTAATTAACTGGGCCTCCACCTCGTGGCTGGTCATACAGCTGAAAGCCTTGGTAAATGATTTGCGGAAATTGTCACTTAGAAAGGCATAGAGTATGGGATTCATGGCCGAGTTCGAGTAGGCCAGACAGCCAAAGAGCAGGAAGAGCAGTATTTCCACCCGTGTCAATTCTCGCTGACCCACAAAAGAGTTAATCAACGATACCTGGGACACCCAGTGGGGCAGCCAGCAGAATATGTACACCGTTATGACAGTCAACACCAGACGTGTGACCTTGCGATGGGAACGCTTCTTCTCCTTCGATTTATGCTTCTGCTGGACGCTACGCAATTTCTTAATCACCAAATAATAGAAGACCAAAATAAAACACAGCGGGGTGGCAAAGCCCAACAGGAATGTGTAGAGGATGAAGGTGGTTCCCGAGTGTTTCTTGTACACCTCCGGCCAGTCAATGTTGCATGAATAGTTGATGCCATCCTCCTGCCGTATTGTGCTGGCAAACAATATCACCGGCATCATCAGTATGGCCGATGTAATCCAGGCAATCATTGAGACGAGCTTGGCGATACGCAGCGTACGATAGCGGGGCGATTCAATCGGATGACACACCGCCAGATACCGGTCCGCTGCCATTATTAGCAAAAATATGGACGAAGTAAATTGGGTTATCGATGTGCTCACCATGTAGGCCTTGCACATGTACTCGCCAAACTTCCAGCTGCAAATACGCATGGTGTACAACAGGAATGGTATGCCAATGAGGAAGCACTCATCGGCTATCGCCAGATTGAGAATATAAATATTTGTGACTGTCTGCATTTTGGAGAAGCGAAATACCACCCAGATCACCAGAGTGTTGCCGAACAGGCCCACCACACACACCACCGAATACAGGGCCACGGTGAAGACATGGGCCAGGGAATTGCGATTCTCCATGCATTCCTGGTGAAAGGCATTCTCAGTCAGACCGAGGGTATGATTTAAATCCCAGGGCAGCGTTGTGGTGGTGCCGCTACTAATTGTGGTGGCTGTGTCCATGGTTGTGGTGGCGGTGGTGTTGGTGTAGCCTTTCATTTCATTCATTTCCATTGTGGCAATGCCATTCCGTTGTGGTTCTGTTGCCGCCACATCCTCCTCTATTGCTGACGTTGAGAACTTTAATGAAACTTTTGCCTCTTTGTTGTGCTGTTTATGTAAACGACCAAAGTTATTATTTATACTTTCATTACTACCGCCCCTAACGTCCCTAGTAGTACCGGGAATCTCCAAATCACCAACAATACTTTGAGCAACTGCAATATGGCCTTTTGTTGCCGCCACCACACCGGTAGTGTTTCCTGTAGATTTCATGATGAAACTTTTGGTGTTAGATCCTTGGTGTGTACTACCAAGAGGCTCTCCCTCTCCGCCATCTACCACATGCATTTCCATCTCTGCCATTGTTGGTTGTATTGCCAGAGACCAGGAACAACAACTTAATAAGTTTACGGCAACGATGAGACACCACCAGCCTCTTCTCTCGCATCTCGAAGAGCACCATCTCTTCGGTGTGCAGCTTCGTCTCTTTGTAAACGATAATTGTTGATTGTAAACATGTTTCCTGTCTTTGGTTTTTGTTTTTGTTGCCATCATTCTCTGTGAGTGACTTCAAACCGGTGAAATGAAATGAAAAGTTGATATGGATTTTGTGTCTGCTCACAAAGACACTAGATGTTCATACATATCCCTCTTTGAAATGATTTCTTTTCATTGGATTGAGGCATGTTATCGGGATTATGAATTTGACTTTTTTCTTCAAATAGAGAGACACGTTTGTTTGCTGTTGGAATTCAGTGGGTGGTCCTTTACCTGGAATTGAAGGATAAGAGAAGTTTGCTTTAATAAAAATTTGATTTTAAGGTAAAATATTATTTAACCCTACTTAGGAGAATAATGAAAATATGTGGAGAAATATGCATTGAGAGCATATCGGCTACTTTTTCTCCAAACTATAATTTTTTATTTATGTGTTTGATTTCTCTTTCGAGACGAGCTTTTATACCAGGTTCAATTTTAAGAGAGACCCTTAAAAGGCCATTGAATTGTTAAAAAAAATTGGCTTGATAGACACTTATGGAACCCGCATTGAATTATTTACCAAATAGGTCCATATTTTGCTGTAACCAAAATCAGCGACGTACCAAGAATTGTATTTTGAAACAATAAGGGGAAGTGATTTTAGCCAGAACTCAGATTTGCTCTTTCTGCTATATTCCATTCCAAATATTTTTTCCAAAACAACACTTTTCGTTCTCCACTAATAAAAATACGTTTTTTTATAAAAACAACAATAAAGGGATTAAGCCTGACCATTTTGCAACGCCAAAATACTATGGTATCCGGAACAAAGAAGCCAACACTGTTTTTTTTTCAAATTTTATTCCCTAAGCCATATGACTAGAGAGGGTACATATCATTTGATATGTCCAAAACCTGCCTCATCGAAAAAACGGTTTTAGATCCTGGGTCTAAACCACTTTCAGGACATTTAGAGTCGAGCGCTAACTCTCAAAGGAAGCATCCAAATTTAATACATCGCAATAATATTATCAAACTCATATCGAGTTTGGAGAGGGGCAATATCGATACACTCCTTCTGGTGCCTAACCTTCAATAGGTTCACATTTTCAAAAAAAATATTTTAGTGCACAGATATTGCAATTTTGCTAAATTATTACTATTTTTAAATAAATAATTTTTTTATATCCTCCACCAGAGTATGGAGGGTATATTAAGTTTGTCATTCCGTTTGTAACACCTCGAAATATATATATATTAGATCCTACAAAGTATATATATTCTTGATCAGCATAAAAAAATAAAAATTCTATGTCGATTTAGCGTTGTCCGTCCGTCTGTTCTTTAGTGGAAATCACTCTAGCTTCCAAACGAATTGAAATAGGTTGATAACATTTCACTCAAATGTGTATTATGTCTGCAGAACTTTTGGCATTGAAAATGGGTCATGTAGGTACACGTCTTCGTATAGCCCCCATATAATGGTTCCCCACGATATTCGGTATTTTGATGATTTTAACAATACTATTCACCGGAATTCTTTCAAATTTGGTATTTGAAGTTCGTAATGGATGCTACAGCCCGTGACAGAAAATTGTCTGTACAGGTCCACGCCTTCGTGTAGCCCCCATATAACGGTACCTTCCGATATTCGGGACTTTGTTAATTTTAGCGAACATTATTCACCGGAATTCTTTCAAAATTGGTATTTAAAGTTCGTAATGAATACTACAGCTCAAGATAGAAAATTGTCTATGCAGGTCCACGTCTTCATATAACCCACATATAACAGTACCTCCCGATATTCGGTATTTTGATAATTTTAGCTACATTATTCAATGATTTTTTTTAAGTTTCACATTTGAATATTGTAATGGCTTATAACAAAAGTTACCTATGCAGGTCCATGTGGCCGTATAGACCCTAATATAACAGCTACATTCGGATTTTATTGTTTTTAAGAATTTGCAATTTTTTTCCAAATGGTGGAGGGTATTCAAAGTTCGGCCCGGCCGAACTTACAGATTTTTTAGTTGTTTTAGTTTAGCTGGAGTGTGAGAGTAGGGGAAAAGATTCACAAAACCAAAAGGAACCAGTAAAGAAAGTCTTAAAGTCGGGCGGGGCCGACTTTATGATACCCTACACCACTATGCTAATTAAGTAGAGCTCCACATAACAATTAAAAGTTTTTATGGGAGAATTCAATCATACACGCTATGATTATAATTTAAAGTTCAAAGGACTAAATATGCCGAAGCATTTGTATCTTTTAAATTCGGAATTGCATTGCCCATTTGGTGCACAATTAATTTGAAATCAGATAAAGATATATATGGGAGCTATATCCAAATCTGAACCGATCTCGATAAAATTTGGCAAAGATATTTCTGAGCTGTATTTGATATATTTCCCTGAATATCGTTGTTACGGAGTGCATATTACGATTGTGGGTAACAAATATAACAAATCGGATGAATAATATATATGGAAGCTATAGCTATATCTGAACCGATCTTCACCAAATTTGACATACTAGCTTCTAGACTCAAATTCCATCCCATTTTGACAAATATTAGACGTTTGGTGCACAATAAAAGGTAAATCGGACGAAGTTATATATGGGAGCTATATCCAAATCTGAACCGATCACGATTAAATTTAGCAAATGTATTTCTGAGCTGTATTTGATATATTTCCCCAAATATTGTTGTTGCATAGTGCATATTACGGCGGCGGTGGACAAAAATAACAAATCGGATGAACAATATATATGGGAGCTATAGCTATATCTGAACCGATTTCGATCAAATTTGGCATACATATTTTCAGGCCTAATTTGGGTGTATATGCAAAATTCCATACAATTCGGGCTGATATTACACGTTTGGTGCACAATAAAAGGCAAATCGGACGAAGATATATATGGGAGCTATATCTAATTTTTTACCGATTATCTCCAATTTCAATATGGTTCGTCCTTGGGCCAAACAAAATATCTTTGCAAAATTTCATCTGGATCGGACAATAAATGCGACCTGTACTTTGTTTACAAAAATACATGGACAGACGGACGGACATGCATAAATCGACTCAGAATGTGATTCTATGCAGATCATCAAAAGGAACTATGGGTCTATCTCGTTACCTTCTGCCTGTTACAAACAAATGCACAAAGACATAATACCCTGACCACCTTGTGGTGTAGGGTATAAAAATCCAGGGGATGGTTGCTTCTGCGTACAAAGACAGCAAATGCAGTCACCCCTCTCATAAAACTGTTCTCGGTAAGATATTAGATTTTGAGTATGCGATGTTCGTATCGTTGAATGGCTTCAAAAAATTGAGTATGCTAGATTTGTTTCTCATGTAAGAGAACCCCTCACGAATACGAGTGTGTTTCGCTCTCAATTCGAACGAGTATTTCGAATCTCTGCTTTCAACCAGTAAACCATGAACTATTTCATGTAAAATATTCAAAAAATGACGGAGAAGGAACCGTTTTGGGGAGGGACCTCAGGAACATAAAGCCACATAAAGGTACCTCCTACTTTCAGCTGTTTCGAAGACCTGGATAAAATTTTTCATGAAACCTCTTGGCAGAAAGTTGTCCATGTAGTTTCATGTTTCTCTATAATGATAGGACCGTTTACGGGTCTCCTCTTTTTAGCGGACATCCGATGACTATGGAAACATAAAAAACCCTTCAATCCGTTTCTTGGTTTCATATATCTTCTGGCTTTTTCCCAAACAAAAAAGAACTCCGCTTTCGTTTTCTCAGAAAAAAATCAAACTTTTCCTGAAGGAACAATGTTAACTGTGTCAATATGGTTTATACCGAGAATGTTTTTACCTACACCTAAGTTACTTCTTTTTCTACCTACCAACCTATCAAACGCGTCTAAAGATAAATGTCACAGCAAAAAAAAACATCTTCTTTTCAGGCAATCTTTTCAATAGTTCAACGATTGATACAAAACTTTTAATTAAATGACAACAAAGTTAAGTAAGAGATTGGATTTCAAATGAAATTCCAAAACTGGCAACAAAAATAAAGAGAAAGGATACTGTAATCACTTAACAACGGCCGGATAACAAACAAAAGGCGGTAATTAAAAGAAATTTTGTTATTGAAATTTCATTCTCAAAGAAATAAGCTAATTGTTGTAGGCTATTCACAGAGATCAAGATTTAAGAAATTCTCAGAAACACTTGGTAATACAATTAACAATACACCACCCCTGTCCGTAATATTTGTTGTAATAAATCTTGAAAAACTTGCCACACTGCTTGTGGCCACAATGACAACTTCCTCTTTTGTAATTGCCAGCTTTTAATTGCCCTCCTCCAACGTAATCCCCATGGCAATGTTTACAATGACCTGTCATTCATAAATTGTAATAGACAAATCTTTGTCGTTTTGTCTTTGTCGGTCCATTTATTATTTGCATTCTTCTTCTTCTGAGCCTGGGGATTTGTTCATTGGCATCGTAATTAACCGATAAGAGATTCTAATCCAATAAATTAGTTCAATTAAAGTTTATTTAAACATTCAACTAAAAAGTGTAGCCCGCACATCTCCAGCTGCCATAACGTCAAGCAAAGCCAAACCAAGGGCAAATGAACTTTTGAGTGTCGTTTTGCTGAGATTTACGATGATGCAACAATGATTTTAAATGGATTTTCGAGGAAATGTTGCAACAACAGCAACATCACAACAACCAATAAAACCAGCCATGGCAACATAAAAGGATTTTCCCAAAAATGCAGCATCATAAAATGGTCTTTGAGGTTTGACTATTAAAATATTATGTGTTTGTCTGAGTGGAAATGTGTGTGGGTGGATGGATATGGGAATAGGAGGTTGCCATTTGGGAATATTCTAAACTACTTCTCTTAAAGGAATTTTATAAAAAGCATATAAAAAGCATAGCTCTGAATTATATGGCCCCAATAGGCCAGATAACACTTCCAATACTCAAAATATATACTTCCAAAATCAAACTCCCGGAGACTCATAATTCACGTTGGGCGCCACTTTGTTCCTAACAATATTTTTCGGGATATCTTAAAAATGTTTTACAGAAATTCTTCATTCGAACTTTAAACATTGGGCGCCAAAAAAATTGGAACTCCAAAAGTGAATGTTGATATTCACATTGGGCGCCATTTTGACTTTAAGATTAGTTACCGTCCTTGGGCGCCATTTTACACATAAAACGTTAAAAAT